CAAGAACCGCAGGTGTGCCCACCCCGGGTCACAGGTGGGCGCAAGGATGGCTGAACAACAGAGGAGCTCAGGGAAGGGGTGAGCCGGGGCGAGGCTGTGTGCGGCTGGGGCAGTGGGGCGTCTGGACGTGCCATCCTGTGAGTGAGAGACACAGGGTGGGCAGGGGTCTCTGAGGGGGGAGCACCGAGCTTTCCTGGGGTGACCAGTGGGAGGGCTTTTCTCTGTGACCTCAGGAAAGTCGCTCAGTCTTTCTGGGTCTCCATTTTCCCGTTTGCAGAGCAAACAGCTCAGGCTAGATGACCACGGGGTGTCTTGTGAGCGTGCCGGCCGTGTCTGACGCTGAAGTGGCTTAGTGCCTCATCCTGGTGGGGTCTCGTGCAGACAGTCCCACGAGGTCCTGCGACAGCCAATGAAGGGGAGGACAGGGCAGAGGCTCTTCCAGGAAGGGAAGGTTGAGCTGTTGTGCACTCCAGCAGCCCCAGTTCTGGGTGTTCGTCTGAAGGACACGGGGCCACTGTGTTGAAGAGCTGTCTGCACCCCACCCTCACTGCAGTGCCATTCACAGTGGCCAAGACGTGGCAGTGACCTGTGTCCAGCGACGGGCGATGGACACAGGAGACGTAGTTCATACACACGATGGAATGTTACTCAGCCACAGAAAAGGAAATCCTGCCCTTTGTGATGACGTGGATGGACCTTGGGGGCATTATGCTAAGTGAGATGAGACAGAAAGACAGATACTGCACGACCTCACTTAGATGTGGAGTCTAAAAACCTGACCTAGGAACAGAGCGGGCTGGTGGTTGCCAGAGCTGGGGCTGAGGGCTGGAGGAAATGGGGGAGGGCAGTCAAAAGGCATGAACTTCCGGTTTGTAAGATAAATTGAAGAAACAAGGAAAAGTACAAACCACACAAGGCTTGGTCCGACCCCTCCTCCTGAGAGGCTCTGGGTCGCCCTGTGCCACGGGGCCGCAGCTCCCCTGTCCCGGACCAGTCGTGTCCCCAGCCCGTGAGGAAGTTGTGCAGGCTGTAGGAGTCACCCTGAGAGGGAGGCTGATGACCTCATGGGCTGTTTACACGGTGCCCCCTTAGGAGGAAAGGAGGCTTCGGGAAGGTTTGTTGAGTGAGTCCAGGATTCGGCTGGTTCAGCAGGTTGAAAGCCACACTGGGAGAGGCTGTGTGGACTGATGGGATCTGATTTTGTCCTCTTCTAGGTCTTAGTAGTAGATGATGGGCCCCCCGTGGCCTGAGCCGTGGGACAGAATGGTGGCCCTTGGAGCTCTTGTGTGAGCAGGGGCAGCCTCATCTGCTGCCTGCCTCAGTCGTGTGTGTGTGTGTGTGTGTGTGTGTGTGTATGTGTGTTGCTTAGAACGGCACCTGGGACACAGTGCTCTGCGTGTCCCATGTGGACGTGCACACGTACAGGGGCCTCATCTCCGCTCAAGTCCACTCCCTGTCTGTCTGGAAGGCGCCCTTTGTTCCTGACGTCTCCTCTGGCCCCAGGTGAAGCAGCCCCTTCTTTCTCCAGGCTCCTCTGGCACCTTGGCTGTGGGGTGCTGTGACAGACCGGGAGCCTGGGCTGAGCGAGCCTGGCGGGTGTTGTGGCCTGGGGCCGAGTGTAGGAGCTGTCATCGCTGCTGTTGGAGCAGGCTCACAGGCAGGCTCCGGGACTGCTTGTCCAGCCTCTTGGCCACTCAGGGAGCTCTCCCGGCTGCATTCGGAGGAGAGCCTGGGCTTTTGGGGCCTATGTCCCGTGCGAGGTTTGTCCTGGTTAACGTCCAGTTGGGGATGGCACCCCATCTGCTCTGTGGGGGTGGCAGTGGGGCCTCGTTTGGTTTCAAACGATTCTTCTTTTTTAGTAAACTTTATTTTTTAGATCACTTTTAGATTTACCTAAAAACTGTGAAGACAGTTCAGAGGGCCCCTGCACCCGGCAGCCCCATCCCCATGCTTCACGTCACGTGGCACATTTGTCACCATCTTGAACCAACACTGACACGTTCTCATGAACTGAGGTCCCCGCTTTCTTCATGCTCCTTGAGTTTCCCTAATGCCCCCCTCTTTTCCAGGACCCCGTGCGGGGTCCCAGAAGACTTCCAGTCCTTGGGTTCCTTCGGCCCCGGGGCTGTGACAGTCTCTCAGGCCTGCCTTGTGTCTGAGGCCCTGCAGTGTCGGGAGGGCTGCTCAGGGGTCTATGGAAGGCCCCCTGCTGGATCTGACGCCCCTCTCGGGATTACCGGGTTCTGGGCTGGGGAGGAGAACCCCAGAGGTCCGGTGTCCTTGGCATCACGTCGTATCAAGGCCACACCGTCGAGGTGACTCGATCGCCTGGCTGAGGAGTGTGCCGGGTCTCCCCCGTCGGCTCCCATCTGCCCCGTCCGCACTGTGCCCTCTGGAAGGAGGTCACCCTGCACGTCCCCCCCCTCTGGCTGGGGGCTGCTCCCCTCCTGGAGGGCGGAGTGGCTGCCGTCTGGAACTCTCTGTACAGGAGACTCATCTCTCCCGCCCATTTATTTATTTAGCCACTTAGTGATGTTAGGATGGACTCGTGGATGCTTCTGTTGTGCTCTGGCTCGTAATCCAGTTCGACGTCATCTTGTAGCTTTGGCCTCTGGGAGCTCTTTCAGTTGGCTCTTGTGTCCCTCTGATGCATCCCATCAGTGCCTTCTGTTTTCTGAGCACTTGCTTCCTCTCTGGCGCTAGAAGGTGGTCCAGGCTCACCCTGTGTCCTCCTGCCCAGTCCTAGAGCCAGCCCTCGCCCCAGGGTCCCAGCTTCCTCTCACTGGAGGTGGTGTTAGAATCCACGACCCCTGGGCCCTGGGTGTGCTTGTTGCTACCGGGGTGGTATCGCCTTTGGGCTCCCGCAGCCGACAGAGCCCAGAAACCTGTGTGTGTGTGTGTGCGTACTAACTCGTGTGTATGCTAACTCGTGTGTATATACTTAATCTATAAACATTTCTACACCTAGCCCCCTGGCTCTCTAGTGACTGAACACACGTCCACACTGACATCTCCACCTCTGATCCCCACCATGTGATCGTCCAGCCCCCTCCCCTTGCTGACCCGACCTCCCGCCCCATGGTGAAGGCCTGGCTCCCGCTGTCCACCATCCACCTTCCTTGCTGTTCCGCCCAGCTCACCGTGCGGCAGTGTGAGGAGTGTTAACACCAGATGATGACTTTTTGTTTTGAAATAATTATAGATCAAAGGAAGTTGCAGAGACAGGGCAGAGGGTTCTCCTGTTTCCCGCAGTGTCCCCAGTGGTTCCATTTTACATAATTATGGCATGGTAACCTGGTGTTGGCACAATGTGTGTGTGGGTCTGTGTCACGTTATCCCTTGAGTAGATTCTTGTGACCGCTGCTGCAGTCAAGCTGAGGATGATCTCCTGTGTCCCCCTCAGTCACACCACCCCTTTCCTTCATCGGCCCGATGAGGGGAACCGTAATCTGCTTTCCTGCCTAAAATCCTATTGTTTCCAGGTGTTATATAAACGGAAGCAGACCGTCTGTGGCTTTTTGGGACTGGCTTCTCCACTCCGCTGAATGCCCCAGTGCCCCAGATCATTGCGTGTGCCAGCTCTCGTCCCTCTTTATTGCGAGCAGTATCCCATGGCGTGGCTGTGCCACAGTTGGGCTAATCGTGCACCAACTGGAGGACATTTTCCCTGTTTCCAGCGTTTGCTATTGCAAATAAAGCTGCTCCTAGAGTGGTGCACGGGTTTTGTGTGGTCATGGGTTTTTATTTCTCTGGGATAAATGCCCAAGAGTGCAGTTGCTGGCTCTCAGGCAATGGCTTTTGGAGCTGGATTGCTGGAGTCCTGCATCAGCGGGGGCCCCTTGATTGTTGGGGAGAAGATCCCAGGAAGTCTGGGGGACTGTTTTGCTTGCCCCGTTCGACTCTGCCTGGAGACAAGCTCCTCCTCGTTGGGCCGAGGTGTGGTGGTCGGATGGAGCGGCGGGGCCTGAGGCTCCAGTTCGCTGGGGCGCGCAGGGTTGAGATGCTGTGGTGGACGGTTCTTCCTTAGGCCTCACGTGGACCGTGTACTGTGCTGCTGTGGTGGCCCCACGCCGTGGCAGCTGGGAGCAGCACGAGCGCGCTAACTCCTGGTTCTGCAGGTTGGGGTCCTGGGCTAGGCCGCCTGCCCCCTGGGCACCAGCTCCCACAGGACCCCGTCGGCAGCTCAGCCCCTGCCGGGCGCCGGTCCCGAGGCTCCCTGGGAAAGTTTGCCTCCAAGCTCGTTTGTGTCGTTGTGGAATTCGGTTCCTGTTGTTGTGGGACCGAGGGCCCTGTTCTTGCTGGCTGTCCTTGCTCCTGGAATCTGCCCATGTTCTTTCTCATGCTTTCTGTGTGGCCCCTCCAGCAGTGCTGGGTGCAGAACCCTCTCACGCTTCAAAGCTCTCCACCTTCTCTGTGCTCCATCTCTCTGGCTGCGATGGAGAAAGTTCTCTGCTTTTAAAGGCTCATATAATTCGATTGGCCTACCCAGACAGTCCCGGATAACCTTATTTTAAGGTGCATAAGCTTAATTTCATCTGCAAAAATCCCCTTTGTCTTGTCAGGTAACCTGATCAGGTTACTGGCCCACCATATGTGTGGTCGAGGATGGGCAATGGTGTAGATGTCAAGATCTGAAAACTCGATGCCTGCAAGAGCCAGGCAGACTGCACATATGTGGGATGGGCCCGCCCGCTGCAGGGCTGGGCGTGCGCCGTCCGAATCAGGCTGCCCATCTCGGGCTCGGCCACTGTGGTCCCAGAGGAATCTTCTGAGTTTGAGAGAAGTCGGCAGTTTGGATATTTAAATGAAGTGTTTCCATTTACAAATCGTCTTGTGGGTCAAACAGTGTTCTTTTTTGTTTTGGAGGTGGCAGTAGTTTAGTTTTACTTAAGTGTAGTGCTCAGAAAAACAATTAGTCTACAGAGTTCAAGGTCGTCCTTCTATTTACAATGAGTAAGCGCCTTTCAGAAGATTTGGCCCTTGACTATCAACAGGTAACAAAAAATGTGGAGCACGTCAGGAGTTTGCGTGTCATCCTCACGCAGGGCTGTGCTCATCTTCTCTGTGTCGTTCCAGTTTGAGTGTATGTGCTACCGCACAAGCACCAGACCTAGTGTCGTTGGGGGCTGGAGTGGGCCTGCAGCCCGTGGGCCGTGCCCCCTGCTCTGTTCTCCTGAGATGATGGGGTGCTGCGGATGTTCCCCGTCGGAGCCCCTGTCACATCGGGGAAGGCTCCCACGGGGGGCTGGTGGTGTGGCTTCCACCTGTGGAGTCTGCGCCTCGTTGCCCAGACTGTGTCTCTTGGCGTTTGTGAACGTTTTACTTGGCTTCATTCTTGGGGATTTTCTGTCCTTGAAGTCCACTGCCCGGGGCTCCCGAGGCAGGAAATTTCCACTCTTCGCTCCCCCGGCTCAGCAGGTTGGAAGCGGATGGCGCTTTCTGGCCTAATTCAGTCCTCACCCTGACCACGGTGCTCGCGGCCGCCGTGTTGAGGGAGGGAGAACGTAGGGATTGATTGCCCGGCACTACTGGTTATTTATCCTGACCATCGTTCGCAGCCCTGTGTGGGTCGATACCAGCCGCCTGTGCAGCGCCCGGGTCTGGCACACGGGGATGCATCTGGCCAGTGGCGTGGTGAAGCTGTTCACCAGGCGGCCTGTGGAGGGGCGCGGTGAATTTCGGGGTGGGTAGCGCCCGGTGCACATCCACCGCTGCCGCCCACCCTCTCAGGAACCCTGTGAGCTCGGCCACGCCGCTTGCTCGTGGTTGAAGGGTGCTTCCTCCTCAGGCGCCTCCAGGGTGGCATCTGTCAGGCCTCGAGGATGTTCTGCTTTCTGGTCTGTCGTGCTGGGCAGAGACCCCAGCCCGTCTCTCTGTGGCAGAGTGTGGCCAGTGCACTGCCGCTGCCCTCTGCTGCAGCCTGGGCCAGGCCCGCGGCAGCCCCGCTGATGGGGCTCTGGTGCCTGTATCCCGTCAGGATCCTGTGGTGTGCTTGACATTTCAGTGTACAGTGCTTGGAATGTGTGAGTTCATTTTGAGACCTTATTAAGCGGCTCCAGTCTAAGGGTTTAATTGTTACTGATAGCTAAGAGCATAATTACCTTGGTAAAATACCATGACTATTTTAAGCAATTGAAAATTGGCTTCCAGAACTGGGTGAACACAAACCATTTTCCTATTTGAAATGAGCTATTTCCAGTGTGCCCCTAATATTCCACAATATGCTTACAGAGTCTTATTTATAGAACCTAAGCAGTGAAAGCTAACTTTTAACACGAAGAAAGTTTTTAAAATATAAGTAAAAGCTTCCCCTCCCCTCTTTTCTGCACCCTCCCTCCCCTGAAATTCCAGAGTGGAGCCATCTTTGGAGAAGGACACAGGTTATTGGTATCCTATCTACCCCGAGGTCAGAGCGGATGTTTTTGTGGTGATGACGGCCCCCCTTGATGGGTCCCTGAGTGGGGAGGTGAGAGATGGCACGCGCCGGAGTGTCAGAAGAAGATCTGGATTCTGAATTCTGGGAACATGCCGGATCTGCACTGGCACCTCTGTTGCCAGGAGCCGATTAACCCAAGGCCCCTTCTCTGGAGAGTGGGGAAGTCCCAGTTGTCATTCCCATCCCCCTGGCTTTGTGGCTTGCTAGGAGGATCAGATGTCCTCATACCCCTGAGGTATCCTTGTAGATCAGAAAGCCCTTCACCAACACAAGTGGTTGTCCTCCAGTTTGAAGACCTCTGCTGTGGGATGTTCACGGGCGGCAAGCCCTGCTGGCTTTTCGCCTCATTCCCAGGTGAGCTGGGAAAGGACAAGATGGCTGGGATTCCGACGTTGCTTCCACTCTTGGAGACGATGCAGGGACATGGGAAGACTGGCGACTTCATCTGCAACACACAGTTGAGATGAATTCAGATCTCAGAGGAGAGCTGGAGAGCAGATAGAGACCTGTCAGCGGAGATGGCTGCTGCTACTTAAGGAGCAATCAGATCCTTGGCACGAGGCGAGCTTTTGGGAAATGGAGGCGGAAGTACAGGGGGTCTCTCAGAGGAGTTCAGAGCTCCTCCTGCCTCGTGTCCAGAAGAGGTGGTCCCAGAAGAAGGCTGTTCCCCACCTGGTCTGCTCACGATCCATAGGCACCTCGTGAGCCAAGCCTGGGAGCCCTCCCTGGGCCAGCGGAGCAGGTGTTGGCTCAGGGGTCCCGGAGTGTCTTCTCGCTCCACTCCGCTGGGACTTCCTCCTCCCTCCACTCTGCCGGGACCTCCTCCCACCTGGCGTTGGCCTTGTGCCCGCGACGCTCCACTGAAGGCTCGCGGTCCTTTTCTGATGGAGGGGCTTGGGTTGGGTATTGGTATTCATATGATTTATTTTGAGTTAAATGTAGGTCTTTATATTCCTCGTATTTACTTGGCAGCTTTAAAAAATCACCTAATTATGTGGGAACTGTAAGGGTGGGGCACTCCATGTTGTTCTTCGGTGCTCACTCGTCCAGCTGCTTGCCCAGCGTCTCTGGGGTCAGCATCTCAGCAGCAGGGAGGTCCAGCCTCGCACCAGCAAGGCACGTCCCTGTGGTTCTCTGTGAACCCCAGCACCTTCTGGAAGCTGCCAGCACGTGGGAGGTGTTCTGGACCCCATTTTTCACCCATGATACGAGGATAGACTGTTAGCTCTGAGATGCCTCCACTCCTTCCTGATTTCAGGTAACTCAACCCTGCAGGGATGGTGATGTGGAGAGGGCAGAAGGAGTAGGGAGACCTCAGGTTACTCTGGGCTAAAGTGGCCCCCCCCGTCCTTGAGTGCTGTCCTGGACGGGGTGATGGGCTTCTGGAAGGAATGTAGGCAGGTAATAGGTGCTGCGTCCTAATGGCTTTGTGTCCCTGGTGAGGGCAGAGGCCAGTTGTGGGGGATGGGTGGTCCACTGTGGGTGTGGGAGAGGTGGGGTGGTGGTCCTTGTGGGAGGGGGCAGGTGGGTGGTGGTCCTCATGGCAGGGGGCAGAGTGGGTGGTGACCTCCTTTCTTCGGTCACATTGGTGTTTGGAGTGCTGGCTCACAGAGCATGTTCACGTTGAGTTTCAGGGGGGCCTGTGCAGTGTTTTCCGGTGACTGCCCAGTTTGCATCCCTGGCGGGTGTGTGAGTTCTTGCCCCTGGCTTTGCACTGGACTTGTGGCTCTGGCTGGGAGCATTTGCTGCTTAGTGAGGTACTTGCTGCTGTGTCTGCATAGCGTTTTGATATCTGGTAGTGAAATCCTCCAAATTTGTTATTATTCTTTAAGATTCTTTGGCTAATTTTGGTTCTTTGCATGTCCTTATACATTTTGAAATCGGTTTGTCAACATACACAAAAAACTGCTGGAATAGTATTAAGATTGCGGTGAATTTATAAATCAATTTGGGGAGAAAGGACATTATAACGTTGTTTTATCTTCTAAACCAGAATGTTACATCACTTCTTCCATTTGTTTAGATCCTGTTTAATTTCTCTGAGTAATATTTTGTAGTTTTTAGGGTAGAAGTCTTGCATCTTATTTTCTAAGTGTTTTCTGTTTTTGATGCAGTTTAATAGTATCTTTTTAGGTTTCTGTCTTCTGTGTGCTTGTTACTGGAATATGGAGCTAGTTCAGTTTTGTCTGCTGACTCTGGACCCAGGAGCCTGGCTGAATTCACTTACTGTCATGGTGGCTTCGACACAGACCCGCCTGGAGCTGCGCGTCCCGCCCGGTCCTGCTTCTCTGCCAGCCCTTGGGCCTTGCCGCTCGTCCTCCCCGTCGTCTTGTGGGAGCCCTGCTGGACGGTGGGAGAGGGGATGCCAGTGGGCGTCCTTGTCTGGTCAGATTTTTGGGAAGCTTCAGTGATCGACTGCGAGGTCTGATGTGAGCTGTTTGTTTTCTGTAGATACTCTTTATTGGATTAATGGAATCCCCTTCTATTTGTTGTTTTCTAAGAGGTTTTATCATAAATGCCTACCCCATACATTTTGATGTGGGTTATTTTTATTATTGCCGTCAAAATATTTTCTCATATTCTGTCTGGATTTGTAAAGGCTGACCTTCAAGCAAGGTTTACATGTTCAAAGCACATAATGTAGGCGGATGGGAATGCTGAAAAGGAATCGAAAGAAAGAACCCAAACTTACTCGTCCACTTGCTCCTTTATTTTTTTGTCCCACTGATTCTTACAGAACGTATCCTGGGAGCCAAGCACTGTTCTGGGCTGGGTTGAAAGAACAGGAAGCCGAACAGGCAGCCTCTGAAGTAGGGGTCTCCTGCTAGGTGGGAGAGGATGAACAAATGAATGTGGAGGGCCGTGAGGCGTTCGTGCTGTGAAGGAAAGTCACAGGGGAGCGTGTTGGGGGAGGGGACGTTAGGCCTTCAGCGGGTGTCTTGGCAGAGCCCGGGAGAAGGAGGGGACCAGCACTCAGGAAGGGAAGGACACACGTAGATCTCTCACGCTGGGGCCTGTGGGTGGGGTTTGTTTTCTGGTTTTTGAAAAATACCTGCAGATCCACAGGAAGTTGTGAAGATGGTAGAGAGGTCCCATGTACCTTTCACCCAGCTTCCACTGTGGTAACATCCTGGGAAATCACAGTGCAGTATCAAAACCAGGCCTTTGACGTTGGGACAGTGTGCGTGTGCTTTTGTGTCACATTATCCTGTGCGTAGATTCGTGGAAGCATCACTCAGTCAAGACACAGAGCTGCTCCACCACACTGGAGACTTCCTGCGGGCGCCCCCTGAAGCCACACTGGCCTCCTTGTCCCCTAATCTGTTTTCCATCCCTGATAATTTTGGCAGTTCAAGAATATTATGTAAATGCAGTCACATAGTATGTGACCTTTGAAAGAATGTTTTTTTTACTTTATCCCTTTTAGAGCAGTTTTAGGTTACGAAAGATTGAGCAGAAAGCACAGAGTTCCCACACACCTCCTTCCCCAACCCGCAGCTCCCCTCTTGTTACCATCTCGTGTTAGTGTGGTACGTTTGTTACAATTGATGAATCATTAATGCAACGGTATTATTAAAGTCCATCGTTCACATCAGGCCTCACTCTGTGTGTGGTACATTCTGTAGGTGTTGGCTGTAATGCGTGATGTTGTGTGCCCACGCATCCCTC